TTGCATTTAAAAGATACTAATAAGGCCTTGTGATTATTGCCTTGCTTGTTCAATAATTCTTTCTCCCACTTACAAGAGGTCTCATTTGTTTATCAATGTACAACACCCTTTAATCACATTTCTCCAACCAGCCTTCCCATCCACATCATGTACCAGTTTGCCCCACAATGCCTCAGTGTAAACTAATCATAGTTCTCCGAATGTGCCATTACAGGGCAGAGACCTAATGCAGAACTGTGCATCCATGGAGGTCCTCTCTCTTCACTGGTTCTTATGATCATGCAAGAAAGATCTCAGACATGTTGCTCACAACAGCAGGCATGAATTTATGAGAAGATAGGAATAGGAAAAAGGGATGATCTCAAGGGAGAGAGAGTATGTCTTTGCAGAGAGGAGGAGGACAGCACACCCCTTCTGCCCATCAGTTTTATTGGGGGCCCCAGGGAAGTTTCCAGAATCCTGCCTAAATTCACCTCTTGATTTTGGGCAGCAGGATGACATCAGACTTTCATGTCCCCACTGTGAATGAGCTAGATCACTTTGGCCCATGTTGATGAGTTCTCAGTGGAATCTGTTCTTGCAGATTTTATGGTTAGGGGGAAGTCATCTTTACCTCTCTGAGTTCTAGGATCTGGTCTGTGTAAGGGTCACAAAAGTTCCCCTTTTGGGGGTAGATTGTGTCCTTCTCAGCTTTTTGGGATCTGCATTTCTCCTACAAGAAACAGGTTGTTTGCTCAGAAATGTCACATGTCCTGTTGACTTAAGACAGGCAAGGCTGGAGGTCAAGTGCTTTTAAAAAGAAAGTTCCTGGAGGTCAAGAGAGAAACAAGGTAACCTGCAGCCTAGGAACTGCACGGAGGCTTTGATAGCGATGCTTATGGAGTCAGAAATTTTAAGAAAATCGAGTCCCCCAGTTTTGGCCTCAGCCCCTCAATCACTTTGTCACCCTTTGAATAGACCTCATCAAGATTTCTTTGTGAGGGTCTTGATGTTTTGGTTGCCAGAGTGATTGGGGATTGTGACATAGTTTCCGTGGTAAGGAAGGGTCCGTATTACCTGGTAGGGTGCAGCAAGATCTCCAAACAGTAGTTTTCCTTAAGGGGGATGGGAGTGATTGTGGCTGGGGCATGCTCTGACTTGCCAGGCCCCCCTCTTCCAGGGGCTGGCTTGTCAGATAAGGCTCCCTGTGGTCTTTAGTCACTCTTCCTTGTCCTTTCCCGCTCACCCAATACGTGGCTGACCAGCTGCCAAACAGCAGCTCAGCATTCACTACCAGTTATCTTTCAGGAGACCATTTACTCCACCTATAGTCACTGTAGTATTTTAAACACAAGTCTACCATAACAAAGATTGCATTGTACTATCATTTTTTTTTTATTTTACTTCTTTTTTGTTTGTTTGTTATTGGGTTTTGGTCTGAATTTTTTTCGTTGTTGTTGTTGTTGTTGTTACTGGAATTAAACCCAGGACACATTACCACAGAGTTCACTGAGTTACATCCCCAGCCTTTTTATTTATTTATTTATTTATTTTTTTTTTTGAGGCAGGGTTTCACTAAGTTGCTGAGGTAGGCCTTAAACTTGCAATCCTCCTGCCTCAGCCTCTGTGTTGCTGGGGTTATAGGCATGTGCCAACATGCCTGGCTGAGATGAATGATTAACCTTATTCATTTTAGTTTACCTGGTGTTGAGCCCAATACTTGATATTAAAACTGCAGTTGTGACTAATGATTTAGATTAATTTTGATTTGCTGAAATCTTTTTTTTTAAGAGAGAGAGAATTTTTAAAATATTTACTTTTCAGTTTTTCGGTGGATAAAACATCTTTATTTTTATTTTTATGTGGTGCTGAGGATCGAACCCAGTGCCCCGCGCATGCCAGGCGAGCACTTTACCGCTTGAGCCACATCCCCAGCCCCTGAAATCTTAATAGAATTGAAATAACTGGTACGGAGTATATTTTTCTTAACCATAAGTAATAGAGAATTTATTTTAGAATAATTATCAAGTGCTTACCATATGCCGAGTGCTCTTCTAATGTGTATTAATTTATTCAGTCCTTCCAATTTCCTTATTAGTCTATGCTTTTTGTCCTCATTTTAGGGATAAGTAAACTGAAGCCCAAAGAGATTAAGCAATTTCCCCAAGGACATGTGGTCAGTAAGGAGTTGGATCAGGGTTGAACTCTGAAGATTCCATTTACATACTGAAAGTGCATGTGTGTGTGTGTGTGTGCATGTGTGTGTGACATACAAAACCAAAAAACAATAAATGACCTCAACTTTCATTAATTATGTCACTTCTCCTGAGAATGTTTTAGGAACAGATTAGATTCTTGAAAAGTCTTGAGAAAATGTATCAGACAAAAATATCTTTGAATGTTGAGTGTGTGTGTGTGTTGTAATGATTTATTCAGGGATATAGAGATGGCTGAAAATGTATCAACCAGTCTCCACCATCATTATGAAAGCAGTAATTCTCATTTAAAGATAAGAGAATCACATAGCTGTGAAGTCACAGGCACAGCTCACAAAACCGTATTGTGGAATCAACTTTCTCAAAGTCCTAACACGCAGGTGTACATTTGAAAAGAATGTAGTATCAGAAGACCTTAAGGTTTCTACTGGGAATAAACTACTTCCTCCCCATGAAGAGTCTTCATTCACTTTTACCTTTAATTTGGTCAGTTCAGTGTAGAGACAGTGCCTTCCTAATTTGCTGAGGGTGCAAGCAGAACCCACCATGTTTTGCACATTACTCTGGGTGTGATTAGATAAGAATGAGAGTTAGACTACCCTGTGGGTCTACATTTTCAAAGCTAGAAACCCTAGTGTCTGTGAAGGATAGGAATCAGTGATCCCTCACTGACATGAGTCAGTCCCTGGCCAGGAACTTCATGTACCAGAAAGTAAATGCCAGCTCCCCTGGCCTCCACTGAGTGACCACCAGGTCAGCCTTTACCATCCCTCTCCTGACTGTAGCTCCCCTGGCCTCTACTGAGTGACCACCAGGTCACCTTTACCATCCCACTCATGGCTGGTTTTGAAACAGATTTTAACTAGTAGATCCTAAGCTTAGATGCCTTGCCATGTCTTCATTAAAAAAATAAAAAAAAAAAAACAAGTGGCATGTCAAAGTCTAACTTATCTGTCCAAGGCTTAGTTTCCACCAACATGGTATGTTTGTTAGTCTCTTAGGACAGGTTAGATTTATTGCATTCCATTTTATTTTATTTTCCTCACCACTCATGTGTGAACATGCACTATTTTGTCAATTTTCCTCTGAGGGAGAGCTTGGACACTGACTCAGTAAGATTCTCACTGATGAGTGAGAGAACCAACAGAAGGATATTTGGAGAAGTGAAATTTAGTGCAAGGCCAAGACATTTGTTTGGATGGGATTTTATTTGAACCTGAGGTAACATCACCTAGAAGAAATGAGAAATGGAGATTTATGCAAATTCCTGTGGGAGGGGGCTAACCCTGTCTTCCAACTATTTTAATCTCATCAGTTGATCACTGTATCTGTCACCTTTGTCCTAAAAAGCATTGGTCATTAACAAAGTCTATTTCCCTTGGAAACTATTACGCTCAGTGAATTGGTTAAAGTTATGAAGAACACCAAATAAATTATATCCTAATAACGACACAATCTGATAATTCACACTCTTGGGGGAAACACCGAAAAAGAAAATTTCTATATGCAATTATGAGATATCGCTTATAACAGTTAGCATAAATTCAACTCTTAAAGATTCTATTTTTTAGCTCCTAAAGAATGCTTATAAGAATATATTTTTGGAAGAAAAACTAAGGTTATTTCTGCAATGGTAAAATCTATTAAAGTGAAATTAAACCTTATATATATTTCTTAAGTTCAGTTATAATTTTAAAAAGATCAGTGACAGTACAACTCTGTTTGCATCTGTAGTTTATATATTTATACAATAGCACAATGCTAAGACTATTTAAAAATAGCTACAAAAACTGGTTAAGTGTCTTCCATGTTCTGTAACTAGGAAGTTTGAATTTTGAGGTTATATTTAATAGAGGTCTATCAGAAATGCATGGAGTTTGCAACTTTATATATTTTATAAACATGCATGTCAGTATATTCATTACCATTCATTCTAAAATAAAAATGCTTATAAGTATATAGAATCATCTGTGAATATTTTTGATATTAATGATAATCATAAATTATCAAACTTTATGCTGTGCATCGATCTATGTACATTATGACATTGAGCCTAATGTAATTTAACACTCTGTATACTTTTCAAAGATATTAGGTGGTTTTCAATCAGGGCAGCTTTTGATGTTTACCTTCAAGAGTTCCAAAGGGAATTTAGTGGAGGGCCAAGTGGAAGGCAAGGGTTGTAAACCCTGGAACTAGGTAATAATTTTCAGCTCTTGTCACTGTGACCAGCTAACATGACTCCTGGCTTCAACTGGTCATACAACAATAGCTCCGGTGACAACCTGTGTGCCAGCTGATTGTCACAATTTTGGTTCAGTTTGTTTCTTTGTAGGGAAAATACACCACCTTACAACACTGAGCTCCAAGGAACAACTGGCCACAATTAGGAGTATCAGATGATCATGTCCATGAAAATATGTCAATCATTATACAGTGTCTTAAGTATGTATTTATTTTTGTTCACTTTATTGTGAATATATGATGCTACTATAATCTCCCTGTTTTTGAACTACTCCTTTAGTGAAAATATTGAATTTGCTCACATCTTCTATTATTAAATAAAGGACATCCATAGTTTTGTCTGTAAATACTGTATGTATTCACAATAGTATCAGATCTTTTCAATTCATTTGTATTGAAAACAACATGCAAACAATTCTCATGGGAGGAATAGGTGTATCTAGGAATCCTTGCCATAGGGCAGACACTTCTACCATGTTGGATGAGTTTGGGGAGATTAAACTGAAAACACAGTGAAGTTTAGTTCCTTCCTCTAACTTTCTTCTCCTTTTCTCTCCACAGGAACTTTTTACACCTGAATGCAAGTTTAAAGAATCTGTTTTTGAAAACTATTATGTAATCTACTCATCCATGCTATACAGACAACAGGAATCTGGTAGAGCCTGGTTTTTGGGATTAAATAAGGAAGGGCAAGCTATGAAAGGGAACAGAGTAAAGAAAACCAAACCAGCAGCTCATTTTCTACCCAAGCCATTGGAAGGTGAGTGCTGTGTATGAATTTTCCCTATCCACTTCCTTCTTAAATTGCAAAGTCAGCCCTCAGCCAGGCTGCAAGGAACCTTCGTGGAGTGTTGAAAATGCTCTTTGTGTTGATCTAGATGATGATAGCACAAATGACTACTTAAGTTGCTCATTTTGATTTGTGAGGTTAGGTGTGCAATTCATTGGTAGAGCTTATGTTTTTTTTGTGCACGTGTGTGTGTGTGTGTGTGTGTGACATTTATTTTTCCATGTTGCAAATCCTCCCTGCCTGATTATTCTAATTTCTGAGTAGTTTTAACTAATTAATTGAAAAAAAAATAAAACCAATGATAGTATTACAATTCTTAATGATAGTATATTAGAAAAATAAATTTTGCATATGGAATCAAAAGCATTGCCCATTTTGATATTTTCCAGGTGGAGGTAATTACCTACTGGTGAATTATTATAATTACAGAAAATAAAGTAATAATAATTTGACTCTTAAAGATAGAATTTGTTGATGTTACATTATCTTCTTCCAAACTGCATAAATTATTATTCATTTACTAAATTGTTTTTCCTTTCTGAAAATAATCTATCCTCATTCACCTACATACAATGGAACCTTCACTTCTCATTTACTTTGATCAAATCGAAGGCACAGGCTATGAAGTTTTGTTAATTAGTTAAAAACTTCTGTACCTTTTTCATTAATGATTATGTCAGAAGGGTCATTTACTTTTATCTATGTAATTTATTTGAGAATTACAAAAAATATTGATTTGAGACTATTCAAAAGTCTTTTCTAAAGGAATAAATGAGAAAGGACAAAAGAGCTCAAAACTCCCTCCGGTCAAGGTCCCTCAGGTTGCTAAAAACAGCTACCTGGACTAAAGGAACCAGAACACCAGGCCCAGCCAGGGTCACACAGAAAGGCAATGGCCCCTCATAAGGTCATAGCAAGACCAAGACCTCTGCTGGCTGGGATAAGCCAAAGCAAATCTCTCACATTGCTCTCAAGACCCTTGGCATTTTTTTAAAAAGAAAAGTTTCAATCCCGTGGGTTTTTAAATATTATAATGATTGATTTTTTAAAAATCATATGAGATGTTTGGTGTCATTTTCATTTCTAGTTTTAAAGCCCACAATAATGTTTGGCTTTTAAAGAGCACATAATGTCTATACTTGAAATAATTCTGTTCCTTTTTCTTCAAATTGATTGGTCTAAAATTGATGCTACAATTCTACTGGCTTCACAGGGTTATTGACAGACTCTCCTTGACTAAAGTTTAGTTGGGCTCCTGTTTGGCCTCTAAGCCTTGACCTTGCTGTCCTTGTGTCTGGCCTGCATTGTCCAGTTATATAAAGATTCTTGCTACATCAGAGAGAATCTCCCACCCTTACTATCTGGCCACTCTTGATACCTTCCCCCTCACCTGACCTCCAACACAACTAAAAAATATTTTTTAAAAAAGTGTTTAGACCCCTGTGAGTTCTGTTTAATCAGAATCCTTCCTATCCTTGATGCCTCTCCTATTAATATTTCCATCCACTGACCCCACCCCTACTCCTGGGCCATGCTGTTTCCAGAATGAAGCCCAATTCTATGCTGAGGTCTCTTTCCCCTAGTGCAATAATTTCTGACTAAAACCTGCTTTCCTTAGTTTAGAAGAAGTGTTTTCTATTCAAATACTTTTGTTTACTCTTCTGCAGAAGAACACATCTTAAGGAACTGCATCAAATATCTTAAGCAAGATTTTCTTCTTTATTTTATTTTTTATTTTTATTTTTATTACTACAGGAAAATCTTAGTCATCAAGAAAAAAACACACTTCAGTTTTATAATCCATATTATCCATTGAGGAATATGATAAGGATAATTTGAAATGTTGAGCTGTCAATTTGTCATGATCTATGAGGGGACAGTAAACTTTCAGTTTTCCTGAATTTAGAAAACCACTCTAGTTTGCCAATAATACCTTTATAATTTCAATGATATTGACTTCCTGTCACTCTTAATTTACTTCTTGAACAATTCTTTGGAATCCAAACAATTAACCACCAGGTCCAATCTGTAAAATGAAAAAAATTATTCCAAAGTCTTAAAATGTGAGTGAATGATTCTCATTACATGGTAGATTATAGGGAAATTAGAGGAAAAAGAAGTTAAAGATTTCTAAGTTCTTCCCAACTAACATATCCATGATGTGGCTTTGTTATTCCAAGGGATTTTTGGTACCATCAGACTTGTCAATATTCAAATGCAATTTACACAATTTAAAAACAGTCCATGGTAGCCCCACAAAGACCTGAGTTTTATTTCCATCTTGCTTTGTCTTTTCATTGATTTTATATTTTGAATATAGATCAAATTGACTAAATTACTAAAACCTTGCTTCTTGACTGAGTAAATGTAATAAAAACCAGAAGGTAAAATTTGGAAAGCAGTTATTTTGTATATTCCATAGGAAATATCTGAGGCTGTACTGGCGTGATATCATAACCTCAAGTGGGCATGCAGTCTTGGGCTGAACTGTGCTATGTGAGTGTTGAGTGTATGTGTAAGGAAGAGCTGTTCAGCATGTTTTCAAATAATTAGGAGAGCGAATTCCTCCAACAAAACAAGGGTGTGGGCACTGTAAAAACAGAGGTCATCACAGCTGCCTTAATATAGAGTAAAATTCATTTTAAATTCTCAAAACCCATACGTACTATAAATTATAGAATTGAAAATGTTAGGATAGATTAAGTATTTGGTTAAAAATTGATATTCTAGGGCATTCATCTCTCTTACAGAACTTTGTAGATAATCAAAGTCAATGCTTTGAAACTATTACCTCCCCATTCCATTCCTAGTGGGAGTTAGTGATTGAAATGTGCTTCGAGGATATGGATTAGTTCCTCTTACTACCTGGCCAAGTCACTTAATACAGGCTGCAAGACCCTTCATAGTTCCTTCAGTTGCTATATTGCCGTTCTATGCCTCTGCCCTATGTCATCAATTATGAGATTTTAATAATGTATCAAAATGAGGCATAAAAATATAAATGCCACACAGTTGCCTTCAGAAATACAACCAGAGCTCTCTGGAAGGGCCCTGGTTTAAGGAAAGGGAGTTCTTTGTGGTTGCTTTGTTTAGCTTTGAAGTCATCACAAGAGTGACTATTTTGCTTTTGAACCACTTGCGAGGAAAGTAATTTAATGATCTAGGGCATGAATGCCTCACCTCAAAAAAAAAAAAATTGAAAGAAGTTCAAGTGTTGATAGTACTATGCAGGGGAAGTCTGTGTTTTCCCCTCTCTACCAGGATTAGTCTTGTGTACCCACACACACACACACACACCCTTAAAGTCAAGGCCATTAGGTCCCACTTATTTTTTTCTCTTTGACAAATATAACCCAGAGCATGTGGAGCAGGTGAAGCCCCCTGTTTGTGCATTGGAAATTGCTGCCTTAAAACCAGAACAATTGTGTGCGTTCTGGGAAGAGCGGTGGGCTGCTTGCTGGGGTCCGCGTGTCAGGGTGGGCCTCTCCTGCACTTCACCAGGCAACATTTCCTTTCCCTCCTCCTCTCTTCCCGCCACTAGTTGCCATGTACCGAGAACCATCTTTGCATGACGTGGGCGAAACGGTCCCGAAGGCTGGGGTGACGCCGAGTAAAAGCACAAGCGCGTCTGCCATCATGAATGGAGGCAAACCAGTGAACAAGAGCAAGACCACATAGCCAGACCCTCAGGTGTTGTGACTTACCAGTCCTGAGCGCAGGTGAGCGATTTATCCCCACCAGACTCTCCTGCTCCCGTGCCCACGAGCAGCGGGACGCAAGCAGATGCCTGCCCTTGGCTGTCTCCGAACTTCTCTGTTGCAAGTGGATAAATCTCAACCTGTGGCCCCCCCCACACAGGAAGACACCTGGATTACCAGCCAAACTCAGACCATGGAATGCCCTACCAGATATGGAATGCCTTTTTAATATCTTTTCTGTGACTGTGACACTTCATGTGAATGACATACTTCACAAGTACACTCGATACCTTGCCTGCTGACAGCTACCCATAACCCTTTTTGAGTCCTGTTTCAGCGAGATCCATGTGTTTAAGTTCAATTTTGTAGCACACGAATAATATTGAGTAATTTCTAGTTAGACGCTGTAAACCTGTGCTATTATGGATTTCTCTTCTTCCCGTTTTTACAGGGCTGCTCGCTCCACTGTCTGTGACCTTTTGCAGGGGTTGTGTTCCTCTAGATCTTACGTGTGGTAGTTGGCTTAGTTCGGAGAGCAATCAGGGAATCAGGAAGCCTCCTAAACCTATTATTACAAATTGCACCTATAAAGATTAAGATCGTTGTCTCTGGCTCACATAACCGATTAAACACACATATACACTCTATCCAGTAGCAGATTCTGTGCTCCCAGGGTTGGCATTGCCTGGGTGGGAAGAGGTCAAACACAATCCATGGGACGGTCTCTAAGGTACGTGTTTGACACCCCCTCTAGTTTCTGTGTGTGTGTGTGTGTTTTATACATATCACAAGCTTACTGGTAATGGTAACATTTGCCTTGCCCAGCGAGCAAGACCCACTGGTTTTTGAGAATGTGGGTCCAAAGAATTCTGTAGGCCTTGTAGGCCTGATTAAGGTTCATTTTTCATCTATTAATCCTCATTATTGGGAAAAAAAAGGAAAATAATAACAACAAAAACAACAACAAAAACAACAACAAGGAGAAATAAATCATTACAACTTACATGAAATGCGCTACCTAAGTCCATGTCCGATCTCCTCCTTCCTGTTTTTAATGAACCGAATTTAATGCCACCTGTTTGGGGCTGCCACTCATCCTCAGCCGAGCATGGGCCAGGCCACTGGGCTGTTGTGTTCCTTTCTGCAGCAGCAGTGCAAACGTTAGTTATAAATTAGACTTTAATATTTTTGGTGTTTAATGACAAGTTTTTAAACTGGACATATTAGGAAAAAATATTTTTTTTAGCTCAGCATGCTGAGTCCAGTACTGTGGACCTCACCAGTACATACCTCTAACTCAGCTCTTCGGGGCACCCATTGCCCAAAGGCTGGGTTAGAGGTGCCTTGCCATGATCTCAGAATACCGTCTGTTGAATTATCCTAGATGCAAATAAAGGCAAACCAACACACTCCAACATCAGGTTTTATGCCATTCCATATATTTGCTTTTTTTTTTAATTTTGCTTTCTTGATTTCTTTTTTGATTGAATACCACTAATCTCTGAGTTTAGGGAAGACAACTGGTAAGAAGGCCGTGAATCATTGAATACATATTGAAACTTCCATGCAAAATGTTCAATATTGGATATCAAGAGCTTTAAAATGTTTAATACTAAACTGTTTGGAAATATATTTGTTAACTCTGTGTACACTTAATAAAATTCAATGTTTCTTCTCAGAAGAGTTGAGACCAAATTGAACCTCATTTATAGAAAACAGTATGTGAGAATCAATGTACCAGCCTCTTGCTGTAATTTCCATGTGGAAGGATGACCTGGTTACCATCTTACCCCAGCTGCACTGTGGGGACTGGGAAATTATCTTGTCACCGCTTTCATACATCACCATGACAGCCCTTACCCAGCATTGAAATTTTTTTGGCCTGCTTAGCTGATTAAAGTTTCAGTACAAATTTAACTGTTTATGCTTATTTCATTTTCACGTTAGATTCCACTTTAATAAATAAAGAATTAGCATACTGTTTGAGTAGATTTATTGTCAATAATGCTAAATTACAAAGACAAAAAAAAATGATTCTTTGACCATTCTTGATTTGGTATACCCCATTTTAAAGCCTACTGTTTTTAACAAGATGTGCTAAACTGTATTAAACAAATTCCATTAATTAATTATTTAGGGAAGACAGGTATCCCATAATATGTGGCAAACAACGAATAGCTTTTAATTCCAATTAGACAGGCTTATAGACATGCGTAAACCATCACTCACACACACACACACACACACCCGAAACAGCCCCACCTATTTGTTTTTGGCCATCTGTCCTACTTGCCAGTTTCTTCGACCCCACAAGCCTGTTTACTGGTTATAATGAAGACAAGATTTATTTTTGTAAATGATGAAGATTTATGTAATGTCGTACCTCTGTTTTGTTTTTTCTGGGTTGTCTATAAGGGCATTTATCGCTATGACTAGATGTCAAAATACTTTCTTCTAACACGTGTTTAGACGTATTGCAGAGGGTCTTTGCTATTTGTAATTTAGTTGGATCATTACGTTGTGTCTGGGCTCACCTGTTGCATGGGAAGAGGACAGCACTGACGAACTGCATGCAGTAGGACCTGTGACCAAGAACTGTTGGTATGTAGAACTCGATTGACATACAGAGTTTGTCTGCACTGTACAGTTTCTGTGTTTATTATCATCTGTTGTATTCACAAATACAACATATTGAATAAAATATTTATATGAAGGCATTCAAAAAAACATTAAACAATTTTATGTAACAAAATGGAATCGCGTCACCCACAAATATAGAGCAATGTCATGTAAATAAGTTGGTAAACACAATTTCTCCCTTTTACCATGCCAAAGAAAATTTTAGCTCTTTGATAATACCTCTCTTGCTATTCTTCCAGGATAAGACTCCACCATTTTTTTCCCTCAGAAATTAAGTTTGCTATTATTAAGTACAATCTGTCACTATTGATGTTCTGTATAGTAAATATGATGGAATTCATTTGTACTAATAGATCGTGTGTTTTGTACCTCCATGTACATACATCCATTGTTTCAAGTCCCCATAAAATCCCATTCCTTCTGCATGCATATCTGGCGTGGGAGGCTCTTTCTACTGATTTGTTATGGTAGCTGATTGCTTTGCCCATCCCTCAACAATGCTCAGAAATGTTCATTGCTTTGTTATTTCAAGTGACATTATTTCTGTTTTCTAATAAGTTTACTTTGTAAAATTTGCTACCACTTTACTTAGAAAAATCATAGAAGACAGGAAAATAGTCCACAGTATAAAGGTAAAATGGAACTGATCATCATTTCATTATGAATCCTGGAGAATTTGGACATCTGCACTCTAAACATTCACTTGTCCTGAGTGTTTTGGAGTGGGGAGTGTAAGGAGGTCAAGATGGGCCACAAGGACTCCTGTTCCAGTCCTTCGAATTGTCCTGTTGACAAGTAAGCAGAGTTTCCTTATCACTCTGGCCACCTGCCTAAACAGTTTTTTGTTTTTTGGGTTTTTTTTTTAGGATGATCAATATCAAATTTGGTTCTTCATTAAAAAAAAAGGAAAAAGAAAAAACGCTTTCTTTCTTGTTCAAGTTAGACACGGATTATTTCATTTAAAGTTTTCTTCCTAATGTAAAAGGGATGATTACTATTTGATATCTCCCCAAGAAGAAGAGACACCAAACTGGCTAAGATTCAGTTTAGAAGGAGGCAAAAATTATTTTCAATTTTGTTTTAGAAAAAGACTATATGCAGGGGAAACACTTAAGCTAAGTGCTCTTTATATCACAAGATGCAGTCATATTAAAATCTAGAATGTATATCATGTTACCTTGGAGTCAAAGCTTAAGTTTCTTAGTTTATGAGGTGATATGGAGGGTCAGTTGACTCTCTAATGCCAAGTAGGGTTTCAAAGTTTTGACAGTGAATTTTCCAACTAAGGCTGAGTTTTATTTTTGTTTGTTTCCCATTTCATTTTGATATTTCAAGTGACGTCATTTCTGTTTTCTAATAAGTTTACTTTGTAAAATTTGCTGCCACTATACTTGGAAAAGTAATAGAAGACAGGCAAACGGTCCATACTATAAAGGTAAAAAGGAACTGATCATCATTTCATTATGCATCTTGGAGAGTTTGGACATTTGTACTCTAAACATTTGCTTGTCATGAGTCTTATTCTGATGTCTCTTGGAAAAGACCGTTTGCCCTTGAGGTAGGTTAGACAAGTCCTTCCAATGTGCTACTAGAATCTAGACTGAGCTCAAGGAGTCCAAAAGGAAGCAGGTGTAGAGATTCTCCCCTAGTGTTTTAGGTCTTTGGTTGGTTTCTATTAAGCCCTGTGGAAAAATTTTTCAGGGATGGAAAGCAGGGTTGCAACCCAGCACTGTTGGTGAACTTGGTGCCTCCTCTCCAATTGATGTTAATCCCACTGTAACTTTTCAAAAGCGTGAACAAACCAATAAGATTTGCTTATTGTCTCCCACCCACCACAAATTTATTCTTATCTTTCCTTCCTTTTCTTTTTTTAGGAGGATATTTCTGAGTTAGTAATGGAATCAAAAATCAAAGTATAAAGAAATATAAAGTCACTCTTAAGGAGGGTAGAAGTAATGTCTTCATATGTAATTTTCCTCCAATCTAAAATATGTAAATTCAGTGACTTCTTTATAGATATACTGAGGTTGGCACTATTACAGCCCAAATCACACATGTATGTAAACACCTGTACACACATGAAATGTTAACAGCAGACAGAAAGAAATTAAAAGATGATATTTCTTTTTTCATAGAGAAAGCATTCATTAGAGTTTCGGTACCAGGTGATTTATGCTATAACTCAGTTTGGTTCTGTAATAGGTAACTAAATGGGCTCCAGAAAATGACAAACCATAACATATTTATATATTAATTTAAAAATCAGGATAAATCATTTTCAACTTTATGAGATAATTATTTCTCAATATCTAAACTTTTACTTGGAATACATAAATGCCAAGAGCATTTTTGATGCTTTTCTTATATAGTGAAAATATGAAACAGGCAACATTTTTATTGTACTTGCTGTCCATGAAAAGGAATAATAGTGTAGAGAGAATTAAAAGAAAAAGAAACAACTGAGATTATGTGATGAGCCACAGGAATCTAAATGTAATGCCGGAGGAGCACAGTTTGGCAAACCACTTCTCAGCTGTGAGAGTTCAGAGTGGGTCTGCTCTGGAGCCCTGGAGCTCAGAATGAATTTTCATCTTTTTATGGTTTCAAAGTATTGAACATAATCAAAGAAGTACATGCAATAGAGATGTATGTGGCCCACAAGGTCAAATATATTTGTTATCCAGTCCTTCATAGAAAGCTGAACTCTGCAACATGGGAATTTGAAGGGCGTCTGTTCCAAGATGGGTAGATAATGTAATCAAGTCCATTGTCCATCATCAAATAAGTCATCAAGATTGTTATGAAAAATTAAGATAGGTTTGTTTGAGGCTTACAATATTTATGGAGAGGAGAGGAAAGAATATAATCATATCATTTCTCCATTATTTGTATTTCCCTTATCTTACAGAACTGACATGCTCAGTAATAGAGATACAATTAATATGGCTGAACTCCTTAATCTCAGGATAGAGATAACAATTTTATAAGTCTATGAAATAATGAGAACATTATTAATACTCAAAAAATTAGCACCAGTTAAATTTTCTCTTAAAATAATTTTCAATATTAAATTTTGAAGTAATAAAGCAGATGCATATTTCCTTATTTTTTTTGGTGGTTTGACTTATGAAGCCCAAGCCATCATTCTAGAATATTTACATCAACATAAAATTTCCAAGTAAAAATTTTCATCTGAAAATAATACATAAATGATTTTGCTACGTCACTTTAGGATTTTACAAAATAATTCACATTTAGAAGAAAAAAAGTGTTTTTTTTAGCTCTAAATAATTAAAGATTGCCTAAACTAATGTGTGTAAGTAGAATTAACTGTATATATGTAAGGAAAGCCCCAATTATTGTACATTTTCATAATTCAATGTGAATTTCATACAAAGCAAAGTATCACCATTAAGAAAATAAACATTTTGTTCCTATCACTGACTGAATATTTGTAATTTCTATTTAAGCCACTTCTAGATTTTGGAGGGAATCCTCTACTGAGCTTTTAAGATAAGTGCCTTTTATTTATTTATTTTTATTTTTTGCAGTACCAGTTCTTTACATGACCCTATACTTCCTTAGGAAAGAAGTCTTTTAAGAAAAATGAATGCATATTTCAGGCTCATCCTATTTCTAACTAAATATTGTTTGTTTTTTTCCCAAAAGGCCACATTACCATGGAGTAATTCAAATAGTAAAAAAAAAAAAAAAATCTGATTTCTTGTACCTGTAACCCCTGACTAGGTTTTAAAATGTGATCTCTTAGTTCTAGGAACCTAAAATGGATATCCCTGAATAATATACTTTTTTGTTGTTAATTTTCAGTAGGAAAATATATTCTGACACAGAGTATAAACAACTTATGTCATTATTTATTAAAACTTTAAAATTGTACATTTTTCATAATTTCTTCCTTTATCTTAAGAGAATCTTCTTTTGTGAGTTTAAAATGAGAATAGACAAATGACTTAATGGCTAAAAATGACCAGTCTTTTTCCTTTCCAAAGGACTCCAGATCTGGTGATTCCTCCAAACAACATCAGACCCTAAATGTATTCGTCTTCATTGTCCCCACCCAGAAGTGTGGAGTGATATGGAATCCTAGAAAAATCAGGTTTCCATGAGAATATATCTTTTCTTTATATTCTATTGAGGTCTTTCCTGTGTAGGGACAAAGAGCTCTAAAAACAGCACCATCAGCACTTCCTAAGTCCAGCACACGTGGCATTTGGAGTCACAGCATTCTTTGCTGTGGGGACGGTCCTGTGTACTTCAGGGGTTGCACAGTATTCCTGGCCTCTGCCTGCTAGATTCCCATAGCACACTTCCTACCCACCCCCCGCCCCAAATTGACCATCATAATTCTCCATAGACATTGCCAAATGCCTTCTGGGTGGCAAAAGTTCCCATGCTGAAAACCACTGGTGAAATAAAAATTCTTTCAGTGTTTTTTATATCAGAGTTGGTTTAACGCATTTTTAATGGGTACCCAGATTTCATTCAGGCGGTCAGAAATAGAAAAACATACAATAGTGTGTTTAACCTGTCCTAGTGGTGATTATACATGAGTTCCTTTGCGTTACACATTCTAATTGCCTAGAAAAATAAGAATCCAGTCTTTGCTTATGGAGTTGTCAAGGATATTCTGTGCCAAGCCAGATTTCACACGCATTCCCATTCCATCCATCCCAGCATTCACAGTTTCCACAGCTACATATTCCATTCCCTGCAATAAAACACACATAGGCAGCATGATCAAAATGCACCAAAACACACTATTATAAACCAGACAGCCCATTAGCCCACTGTTTTACTTATTCTCTCTAGATACAATGCAGAGAGGATAGTAGTAGCAATGATCTTACTACTACATCTTATTAAGCAACAAAAAAGAAATCTGATCTTTCAAAGAATTGAGGATATCTATTTGGTGCCATGATCTATGAATCAAATGGCAACCGTCCTGAGTCACTCCAACTGGGCTACCATGTCACAACTGTGTTATCCTGTTATGTCTGACTTAAAATATCAAACTCCTTGACAGGCCAAGGAGTCAAGTATCCCAGGACTCTTAAGCATCAGGGAGGGGCAAAAATGATGTCTGCTTTAGTGACATACACAAACATCCCTCTCTGCCTTCAGCTAGAGGTGAGGACGGCAGATCGACATGTCCTCATTTCCCCTGTAACTTGCTCAACTAAGTGTATCTTATAACAAATTGTTAGGACTCAATTAGGGCCCCAATGGCTAGTACACAGCAAGCTTTTCTTACAGCTTGGCCCTGCCTCTCCTCCCCATTCACACAGATACATTCATCCTGTCCCCTGGAAAGAACCCAGCACACCAAGGAGGGGCACCTGGGTCCTGTGTAAAATAACACACCATTTCCTACACGATGCTCAAAATAAAATTGCCATCAAGAGGTTTCTTTTCTCTTTTCAATATATAATTGCATATGTATGAGTTTGTAGGGTGGGTTACCTTGTGGGAATTTCACAATGATCATATGATCTGGTTTCATTCTTTTGTATTCTTCTAGGCCTGGGAATAATGCCAATGCTCATTAAAAATGCCCACTTCCTCTTTCAGTCATTTCATATTAACAGTTGTCCCTTAATTATACAGAAGCTGTCCTGTCTGGTCACCTAAAGCATTGTTGGCAGGTGTCCCCCGGCTCTATTGCAGACTGTGGAGTAGAACAATTAGAAGAGCTCAATACTGCACCTGTACAAATGAGACCGTCATGTTTGTCGCAGTCTCTGTCATCACAGTCGCAAAATTCCCCTGAAACGTACCATTCTTCAGCAGAACAGATGCACTTTCCACAATGGCAAGAACCTGAAACCACAAAGGGAATTACTCACTGTCACCAAATAACCGGAGGTTTCCATCTAGAATAGAATATCGTTGACACACTGACAATAGGATTCTAATAACCTATCTTCCAAAGGTAAAAGTTTATTGAATAGCTGGCTTCTCGGAGGGGAGCTTTACTTACTGTAATTCATAAAGGTCATCCCGGAAAGCCTTCATTATGGATCTAGACAGTTGCAATTAGCCTTGAACAAATGTCCCGAGGCCCAGTCTGGTTGAAATGTCAATGAGAGCCTAACTGGCTGCTTCTTATAGATGGTCTCCCATAAAGGTATTCAAAAATAGTTTTTTTTTCTCCCGAATTAAATCATGTTTTTAAAGTGCCCATTCTTTAATGGAATCTAATAGTAAATTCTATTAAATGAGGATTTGTCTTATGATTAAAATAACCACTTAGATACTTGGCTAATAATTTTGGTTTTTTGTTTCCATGAGTTTCTTAGCGTAGTAATGGTGAATACCTGCATGTGCGGTGGCCCGTTGTTACAGTGCTAACATGCACACACAGGCTTGTATATGCTTGATTTATCAGATGTCACCCTCAGGATTTCCTGCTAGAATATAGACTAGCTATAAACCTTCAAAATCTTGAGACTATGGGGCTCTAGGTTCTATAAATTTTCCCACTATTTCACCCATTTCTCCTCTTTTTGCCTCCTGTCTAATTTTAACAATTTACTGCATGCTTATTAAAATATTTTATGCTACTGAGAAATAATTTAATTAATGGAATATTTAAAATCAAGAAAAAACTCTGAGTTCAATGATATTCCAAAGAGAAGAGTGTCCTCAGTTTAACCATCTTTCATGATGGGTTGAAAACACCCACCCAGGGCACCACATTCCACCACAGCAAGAAAGATGACTTTAAAATTGAAAAGAACTGCATCCCTTTCCTTGATGGTGGCTCTTTCCCTTTTAAGAAATGACTATTGCTAAATTTTCCAAAATGAAAATCACCTGGACAGAATGTGAAATAGTGAAAGTATTTTCACATGGTTAACCAAAATTCCAAACTTGGTGAGGTCAAAACATTTTGGGAAATGGGCAGGAATATTTAAACATAGTAATTAAAAATGACTAACCACTTAGGTGATGAAAGCCATTAAGGAAATGCTCAATATTGGCTTGTTTTCCTGAGGGTCTAGGTTGACTTTCAGACTCTTAAGCAAAATACAGACATCGCTTTGCTCTTAGGAATGACTGGGAGTCATTCTGGCAGTTGCTCAGAACCCAGAGAGCTGGTCCTCCCAGGTTGGTCTGCAAAGAATGGTGTCCCCTTCTGGGTCTCATCCAGGTATACAGTGTTTCCATATTTTAGAAATTTATTTATCCCAATTTTAAAGACTAACTTTCAAATTTCTAGGCATGGGAATGTTCAACATTCAACTGCTTGCTTAAGAAATTAACCATTTGATATATCAGCACTTCATTGACTATCAGAGAAATTTTTTCAAAAGACACAAAATTTAGTATTTTAGGTTCCACAAGTGGAGGAAGATTAATTATTTGAAGAACCTGACTTTAATTTTTTCTAAAATATTATCTTCCTTACATTGCAAAACTATTTCGACAATAGAAGCAAATGATTTCATGTCCATGATATTCGTGTATTACATCTATGCTACCTTTTTTTAATGGATCACAATTCATGAAAAGATCTTACATTTTATCTTTACTTATCCCAACCCTGAATTTATTCTAAACACTACTCTTGCTTCTGGAATGCTCAGCTCTAGGCCTTAGCAAAGTACTCCCCTAAAACTGGGAAGCTCAGCTCAACTTGATATGGTATACATTGGTAGAGCATTTGATGAGTAAATTCCCATTCCAGAATCTTCTAGTCACCAAATACTTAGGATAAAAACCAAGGAATGATTTTGTATGTGCCATGAAACAGTAGCTTCCCTTGGTCAGCATTTTCCTGGCTGTGCTGTTCTCTCCTGTTTGTTAATACTCAATGCATCTCAGAGGTAGAAAATCCTGCTATTGCTTGTGTAACTAGGAATAGCACAGCATGTACTAATACATGTGTGACCAATTATTAGGACTTATTACAGCACCTTTCTTGTAAAGTGCTCTGGCTGTTATCATCAATAACCAATAATGGGGAGTCAACTGTCCCTCTCTGCAAAGGGAAAAATTAAGGGAGAAGATTCTGACAGACATAGGCTGCAGGACTACTCCAAGGTGAGCAATTAATTGCTCAGCTCAGCTGGCTGGACCTGCTTACACCAGAGGCCCATCCCAGCCCAGCCGTAGGGAACAAGCAGCTGGCCCATCCTGGCAGGAGCCCTAGGGTGGTAAGTTCATGACTAAAACACCACTAGTCCATCTGCTTTCTTTCTCAACATAAGGATCCTTAAGGATATTCCTATCCCCCTCTGTGCTTTTTGCTGGCTATCATTCATGGGAAATCAGCCACATTTTCTCATGTGTCTTCTGAGCACCCTTAGGATTTAAGAAAGGAAAATAAATGTACTTTTTTTTCCATGAGAATGGAAGAACAGAGAGGATAAGGGAATTGCCTAGGACCACTCAGGCAATAAACAAGGTTGAGATTTTAATCTGATTCCATCTGCTCTTTTGTGTGCTCTCCACCTGTGATGCCTCTCACCACAAAACCTTTCAAAGAGTTTCAAAAATGAGATGCTTGTTTCTACAGATGTGATGCGCCATATTGGGGAGGGGGCAATTAGAAGAATGGAAACTAGAACATCTCTTTTCCAGGGATGTGGGACAGGGGCTACTTGGCTGAGAAATAAGTGGTTGGGGTGTACTCTGGACTTCCTGGATAATGTGGGGCCCAAGAGGTTGTCAGTGGGAGGGTTAAAGGGGTCATTTAAAGACAGGTGTTTACAGCCATTGCCACACAACAGCATCTGTCCTTAAGAACATCAAGGTGATTGCCTGGATGGAGGTTGAGGTCACCAAGATAAAAATGCTATTGTGTCATTTGGATTCAAATAAATAAATCCCCCCAAACCCCAAAACATGAATTATATCCTGTATTCTGTAAAGGTAGCTAAATTTAGGGGAGATCTCAACACTAAGCTCATCTCTCTTGGTTATTTATAAAAACAACCTGAGTCAAGGGCAAGGCCCCTCATTCATTGCCCCACCCCATCGCTACCCTTGGACTTTGTCTCATTCACGGAGCCTGAGAAAATGCTGCAACCCACACCCCAGCAGGCAGTTTCCACTACTGTACTAACGATTCCATCTGTTACGAAGGTCACAACAATGTATCTTGTTTTAAATTTTTCTATGGAGTGATTTATTGTCTTGGCTATAACTTTGTAAAGAAATAAAATGCTTTTTCTTCATCGTCTCCTGAGGTGACGGCTTTATTCACAGCTGGTGGCACGCACACAGGTGATGGCATGTGGGCCTCCTGTGCCTCATGCTGTCAGTGGGTCAGGGCTGCTCGGTGCACCAAGGTTATCACAGGCCTCCACTCACATGTTGCCCTCAGTGGGAGAAAGAAGACTCAAAGTCCTTTGGGGCCCTCAGGTGAAGGGTTTTCATTTATAAATTCAAGAAAAGTTGTATGTAATTCAGACAAATCTGAGGAATTCATAAGGAAACCCAGCCCCAGAGAACAGGCTTCTCTTTTCTGCCACCATATTGAAGTCCTCTGTCTCGAGTTTCTTTCCTGTGGTTCTCAGGTGGAGTGAGTGTTGGCACTACCCCTGGGGATCAGGAATACCTGCTATGCTCCCATTATCCTGGGTGCTTACAAAGGACCAGGCTCTGTGACCCCAGTGTCAACCCCTTTCTTCTCTAGAAGCACTAATGTTCCAGAAGAGGAGGAAGAAATATGCACCCCCCACTAACTGAAAGTCACAATGTGCAGCCTTGGGGAAGCTTTTACAATCCCTTTTGAACTTAAAGACTCTAAAGCACTCTTCCTATTGAAGGATAAACAAATAGTTTAAACAAATCTGCTTTCAACCCTTCATTGATCTCGGGAAATACATCCATCACCCAAAGCAAACAATTTGGAAAAGCATTAACCAGAGAGAGGTTTAGGGTTGGTTTGTTTTTCAGGAAATGCCTTTAAGTCAATATTTAGTCCACCTATTTTTTTTTATTATTTTCTACATTTCCAATGCTAAAAAAATGTGAATCTCTCCTCAAACTCTAGTGAGTTTAATAAGGATGTTTCTTTCTTGAAGAGGAACAACTCTTTTTGTATGAAAGTCACTTTAGGACATGGACTGTTATTGCCCATGCTGGGGAGTCCAACTTGGTGAGTTCTTACTGTACTTGGAACTGAACATGACTCAGCCACAGCCTGCTTGTGGACACAGTTAATGCCTTGATGGGGTGTCTAGTAGCACACAGGTACACAGTGGTTGATTTTTGAAATAAACAAACAAGCTCACTCGTGTTTTAGTATCTGTGGGAATCCTCAGCCAGCAGAATGTTCTTAAACCTGGTGTTCTTATTCTAATGAAGCTGCCATTGTGGAAACCAAGTGAAAAGATACCTGAACCTTAGAGCTGTGTGTTTGGAGCTATGTGCAGGGGAAAAATCCCATGCAGAAAAGTTAGTTAGTGGATCTCAGTGTTTTCCATATGCAGGGCACTCCCCCCTGGCAGCACCTCCTCTGTCCCTCTTACTCACCCCCGGCAGGGCAGTTCTATCCCTACCTCTTTCTCACTTTTCTTCATCAGCCTCCTCCCTGATCTTCCCTTTGTCTCTTCTTTTTAACCTCTTTCCTCCTCCTTGATTCTCCCACACAGCGCGAATCTAACACAGGGCTTTTCCAGGAGCAGAAGCCCCCTGGGAATAGAACTGGTGGAAGATTTGTTAGGGACTTCCAGTTGGATGGAATTTAATGGAAGAGTAAAAAGAAGGGCAGGGTGCTTGCTTTAAGCTCACCGAGTGCTGCTTGCCTGCACTAATGGCTCGAGGTTCAACCCGTGGCTTCTCTGCCTGAGCACTCTAAGCACAGTTCTTGAACACAGAATTCCTGGAAACCAAGGACACTGCTGTCTATGGAAGGGAGCACATTTGTATTCATTTTGGCCTTCCTCCCAGCACCAGAGGTGGTCACAGAGTCGATTTGCTTTAATGACTGAAGTGACACTAAAAGGCCTCTTTTGGGGCTGAGGCTGTAGCTCAGTGGTTAAGTGCTGGCTCCTATGTGTGAGGCACTGGGTTCAATCCTCTGCACCATGTAAACAGCTACAACTAAATAAGCATTTTTTTAAAGCCTCTTTCAGCTGCCTTTTGGGAAACACATTACCCATGGGGCATCGTGCTCTCTGAGCCCCTGATGTGCCATGGTGGCATCTCTGGTGGGGCTCCTTGTAGCACTGCTCAGTGCCTCTAACACACTTCTGCTTCACTGTGTCTTCTTCACAAAGAAATCACATGCTCATCCTGCTCCAGAGTCGGTTCTGAGGGTCCATGAAGCTCCTGCTAGCGCTCAGCTTGGTCTTCAGAGTTGGGTGCCTGTTCTGTCATGAGGCTGCTGAGCTACGAGGGGAGCTCCCTGAAAATCAGCACTCTGAGCTGTGCGGAGAACCCCTAAGACTCCTGTGGCTCCTGGGGATGGCAAAGAGGAACAGGGTGCCTCCTAGACAGATTTGGCTATGTGCCATGATAGCAGGATTTTAAAATCCCTTCAAGAACATGCTATAGAAAACACCAAATTGAGGTGCCCAAAACTTAATGTATTATCAGTCAATTCAGAGAAATTCCCTTCTGAATTTCCTTGGTGATGTATATGTGTATGTATGGAGAGAGAGAGAGAGAAGGAAAAAGAGAGAAAGAGAATATGTATAAGTGTGTAAATGTGTTATTCAGTGTGGGTGTGGGGGGAGATTTGCTTTTTCCTCAAATCTATTTCTATAGTCAATATTTGATTGGGTTGTTGATTTATGTTCAATCAGCTTGTAGATTTTTCACCCCCTTGTTTAATTATTATCTATTTCCTTTAATTATTATCTATTTCCTTGCATTAGGACACACCTGCTTGCCTGGAACAATTTGATTTTTAGTCCAATGAAAATTGTACCAGAATTATAGGAAACACATACATTTTCTGTCCCTTTTATAAAAACAAATATTTATTCTCCCTTTCTGTCTTCCTCACATGCTATCCCCTACCCTCCTCCACCTACGTATCTATACAATTCTGGGCTGTCGTATTGCAGGGGTGAGCTAAACAATCCTCTTTGGCCCTTTTCTGTTCTGGATTCATTGGGTGCCTAGGATATACATGTGGTTGTCATTTGTCTTTACAAAATTATTCATTCTGCTTTTTGCAGCTACAACTTTGCACATAAGTGAATGACAATCTTTGCATCAAAACCCTCTTGTGTATGTCATTATTTTAGATCCCCAACTTCCTGTGGCTAATGTTCAAGCTCTGAGTATGGGACAGGCAGAGGACGCAGTGGCTTTCCTTTGCGCAAATTCATTGAAAGATGGCTGCTCCTTGCTGCTGGACAAACCATGCGTCAAAACAGACTCCAGCAGCGATACTCACCCTTCCCGGAGCACAATATGCCATCTGCTGATTCACACAGACTCCTGCTTTGTTCTTCTGTCATGTTACATTTCCGCGGATGTTGGCAGAGCATGCCAAACCATCCTCTCTCACAGACACAGTGACCACAGGAGCATGTGCCATGGCCTGCAAAGCAACCACAGGGAGGGCGTGAGAGGAGGCGGGTGCACCAGAGTTTTAAGAAAAATATGACAGCCACAGGGTCTTACTGCCTATCACACAGACTTACTTTGTAATTGGATGTTTAGAGGGAGAAAGAGAAAGAGGAAGAAACAAGCTCTCTGGACTCCTAAGGAGAAGGGCTGCAAATTGAAATGGAAATACTACAGCCATCAAAGATACCTCACCTACGAGATTCCCCCTGCAACATTTCCCCTTTTGGAAATTTCCATGGTTTCTCTAAAAGGGTTGGTGCCAGTTGGAGCTTGGTGCCACCAAGCCCTTTCCTTCCAGCCCAAGGAGAGGTAATAAACCAAAAGTCAGTAAGATCAGCCACCCCAGCCTCTGAAAGACTATCACAACAGAGATCTAGCTTAATGTGGTACATTTGAATGCAGCACAGGAGACAGATTGAGAGAAGGAAACCTTGCAATAATTTAAAAGGGAATTATGCCATCCTGGTTTTGATCCAGAGTGCTTCCCCGCCTGCATTTTTCCAGTGTGACCTCTCAGTGCAGTTCTTCACTGTGCACACCACGACACCCGAGCCAATTTGCAAGGCCAGTCACTGTGTCATTGCTTGCAGCATTTATTAATTGCTCTCATATGGCTTACAAATAAAACCAAAAGCTTTTCAGTGTTATTTAACTGTTGCTTCTCTTGACATATACGAGTAAGAGCAGACAGAAGCATAGGTGACAGTGTCTTTCCATCAGTGCACAGAAGTTAAAGACAGCACGCGGCTTGGATTCACTTTTGCCCTTTTGTTTCTTCTTTTTGCTTTGGGTTATTGAAATGTTTCTCTCTTGCTGTATACACCACCTTGCACTTGTGGCAGTTACACCCAGCCCTACACACCGGCTTAGTTGCTGCCACCCACGCTCCATTAGATTGCATGATTTTCCATTTTAATTTCTTGTTTCCACTCAGCTCTTTATTTCTTTCCCTGAAATCACTCTGAATCAGCCATTTCTCTGGAAAAGGTTTACTGAGTGTTTATGGAACAGAGCTTTTCACTAGGATCTGGTGGATATGAAATCAAACATGACCGACAATGTGATCCCTGCCCTTCTCCCAGGGATACACATCATCTTCATCCAGACTGACCTGCCTCTCTGTAGCTGCTTCTCTTGACCAGTGGCTCTGGTGGGAACTTCACGGATAAACCTTGCTTCTTTTGCTCTCCCTATACTCCTCTCTGTAAAGAGGGGTTTGTGGCCAATGCCTAATTGATTTGAATTCATCATTGTGATCAAGGGAACATAACCACCCATGAATCCAGGTAGTGGTTTTGCACAACACATGACCATCCCACACTTCTTCTGTCATGTCACGTTACGTCCAGAGTCCTCTGAACAAACAAGACACTTAGTGGGCTTTTCTTGTTGGTGTCTTCTTCAATTGCAGCAAATGATGCAGCTGTGTGTCTGACACTCCTGGGCACTTCCCCTTACAAATCTCTCTCCCACTGGTTGTCATGAAACTGGACTTTCCTTGCCTCTTCAACCCTCCTCCTTTGTATCTATTTATTCTTGTCCTTGATTCCTTTTATCCAGATAGTTCACAAGTCCTGTTGAAACTACCTCCAACTTTTCCACTTCTATCACTATCAGAAACCTTTGAGAAGCCTTCCCATCACTTCTCTCTCCAATGTTCTCACTAACTGCTTCCTACAGCACAACTGTCACTCACATCAGGCTTGCTCTCTCTTCCTGCAGGACTCCCCAATTCTTGCAGCATGAAGTGCAATTCTTAGCCCCAAACCATTTCTCCCATCTTAACCCTTCTCCCTTTAACCTGCTGACCAATCTGTGCTCCCTGTACATTTCTCTTGCTTTTCTGACCCATGTCTTTGCAGAAGTAGGAAAGCCTTCCCTACTGTAGACATTCAGGTCCTGCTTGATTTTCAAAGCTCAGCAGAAGGGATGGCACCTCTTGAAAATTCCAACATCTGCAAGTGGAACTCATTGCTCTCCTCGGAATTTCTATATGACTTTATTTTTTTGCTTCCTTTGAAATTTGTTTGCCCTCCCCCTTGTGATTTTTAGCTATCTGTCAAATGAATCCATTACCTACTGGATTCCTTGAGAACAGTTGATTCTGACTCAACACTCAGAGCGGATCCTCAAAAACACGTATTAGATTGAGGTTATCTTTCTCAAAACAGTCTTCTCGTTTTCTTCACAAATCCAAACTGAGAGCCCTAAACTGATTCTCGGACATGCTTGCAGGACATTTGGTTAGTGGACTGTCATTGGAGGACAATGGAGAGTCTTTCAGATGCTATTTTACTTTTATTTTCCATAAAGTAGATCCAAGTTAGAAAGTCAGTGTTCCCTAGGGCTATTAGCTCAGTGACTACTTTTTAATTGATTATATCTTGGTGTTCTCTGTTAAAACCAAAGTCCACTTAAAATGCAGTTTTACTTAATGAATTAAGTAAAAAGTGGTCATCTTTTGAGACAAATAATCTGGGGTAGAAGAATAGACAAATAAGCTTCTAGTACTTGTCCACCAAGCTGCAGACTCCTGGTATGTTTGTGTCTCTTGCTGACCCTGCATTGGTAAGAACCGTTATCAGTTGACATTATTGGAATAATTAAATCTTTAGTGCAGAAGAAGGCATTCTGCCTTTAATTTAGAATATCACAGGGAATGACTCAATGGCTCCTCACAACAAGCAATTTAATGTGAAATTCATGTGCAAGGAAATAGGAGATTGTTTTCCATTTATTGGCTCATTTATCACATCCTTCTACAAAGTTAAATTGGCAACTATCCCAGATGATCATCAAAATGCTTTGGTAGTTAAATATCCTGATTTGCCATTTATATGACTTCCCTTTACTTAAAATGTAAATAAAAATACAACTTTCAATAGTCTCTTCTTTATGCACTCTAATAATTGAAGTCATCTATTCAAGAAATATTTGTTTGCACCAGGCATTTAACAGTTGAAGAAGTAATAGTGAATAAAGTAGGTACTGGTCCTGTTCTCATGGCACTAAGAAAGAAAAGTAACAACAGCAAAAAAAAAAAAATACATTTGCACTATAAATTATTTGAAGATGGTGCTATTGCAGTTGAAAGTGAAAACACTGTTAATGAGGGTAGTCAGGCAGTGGTTGGCTGAGCAACTCGCAAGGGCTGAGAAGGAGTCAGACAGCCAATGTTCTAGGAACACAGCCTAGAAATGCAAGTGAGAAGTCCTTGGGACAAGAACTTGACACGTTACAGGCAGCGAAGGCCAATGTGTTTCGAGAAAAATGAGTCAAAAAAATGGAACAAATAATAAATTTGGAGAGAGATTGAGGAATGAGCACATAGCCAAGTGTTTACTCTTGGCAAAGAAATTAAATTTATTCTAAGAGGAATGGGAAAAGACAGGGCATTAAGCAAGAGAGCTATGTGATATTATTAACAAATTGAAAACTCATTTTGGCAACTGAGTGGGATTAAGGTGTGTTAGGAGGAAGTGAGTCTGGAGAAACACAGAAAGGCGATTGCTGACATCCACTCAAAAGGTGACAGAGGGTCAAAGTTGGGTGTGGCAGTGGAAGAGCAGAGAAGGGGATGGAGATGTCATCTGGTGGATGCCTATGGAATAGGCCATTGGATTGGGCATGGTAGGCGGGGGAAAGAAGAGACTGGCTTTCTGGCTAGAAAAACAATGTAAATAAAGACATGGAAGCTTCTGGGAGGAGAGGCTGGAGACAGGCTCTTTTCTGAACCTCCTGTGTTTGAGGTATTCTTAAGACAACCAAATCATAAGGTCAAATAAGCAGCTGGACACCAGCCTGGTGCTCAGACAGCAGTGCCCAGCACTGAAAGCTTTAGAGGAGAATGCGCTCACCCAGGAAGACAGGAGTCTTGTGAAACTGCAATATTAGTACCAGGGTGCAGAATGAGAAGTCAGGTTAAAAAAAAAAAAAGTCCAGTATAGAAGGAGGAAAATAAGATTGCATTTTCTCATAAGATGACAAAAAGTGCCTAGAAAGGGGTTTTACTGTGTTTCCACTGGTTTCTGAAAATTTGAGTTAAAAAAAAAACAAGAAAATAGAAGTAACCATGGTCAGCCTTTCCCAGACCAACACTCCTGCACTGACACAGGTCTGAGTGCCATGCCCAGGGTGGCAGAACTGTTGGAGAATCATCCAAGTACACCACCCACTGAGAAGAACCTCTTTTCTCCTGGAAAAAGTGACACTGCTGTCATTATAATAGAAAAGATCCATATAAAAGGACCCGCTGAGAGAACCAGCCTAATGAGCCCTGTGCATTGCCCTGAACCTGCCTTCACCTGCCTCACCACACCTTCACTGGGACAGTAGTTCTCCAGATGCACAACTCCATCCATCCTTTCCCATCTACCTCATCCACATCTGCTTCTGTTCTCAGTGGTTTTCATTATTGCCCTCCCTTCTTCCACATCAAAACATTCATCAAGAATGTCCTGGACTTGAATTGTCCAATATAGTACTGTCACTATCCCCAAATGACTACTTAATTTATATAGTGAAGCAAAGTTCAGCTACTTTTCAGGTGCTAAAATAGGGAGCACTTGTGGCAAGTGGCTATTGTGTGAAACAATGCAGATATAGAATACTCCTGTCTTCTTTAAGAGTTCTCTTACTCTAGGTAATGGCCTTTTCCAGTGAAATTCACTAGCTCCCAGGCACACTTCCTTAAAGCACTGCAATGTCCTCAGGAAAATGACCTCTGCAGGAATATTAATTGGATCAAAGACTACACATTGCTTCTCCCCTTCTTCATATTAGTGAGCCCTTCATTATTTTCAAGGAGGTAACAACACACCTATCTGGGCAGTTTTTGACTACCCAGGTTCTTTTTGACCCAGAGGTACTCATATGACGTACAGCTAACAAATGAAAAATAGGAGAAAATTCCTGGTGAGATGTCCAGAAAACTGTTGTTTCCCCAAGGCAATTGGAAACACTTAGCCACTA